TATGTGCGTGTAAATTATAATATATATGTATCTTTATAGTTTATCTACCGTTATCTTCCGGTACCATTCGTGCACTAAGGTCAGACAATTGTCCTGAATTTTAAAACTGCTTGATACTTCTGTACCCGTTTTTTCACTCCAGGTTCAATGGCGAGGGTCACTTGGGCTCTGAGAAGACAGTTCAGTGCAAAATCTTTCTCTTCAACGCAGAGGTCGAAAAGTATGTCTATGTCTAGGACCAACTTGCCTGGAATAGACACTTATTGCTGAAATGTATATCGTTTTTGGGACTAATTTTTATGCAATAGAAACTTGTTGCCGAAAAGCACGTCTATTTTTAGGACCAATCTGTAGATAGACACACACCTATACATCATTATGATTATTATAGCCATCTATCTATATCATGTGTTGTATATCTCACACACACGTTGACTGCTTTCACCAACGAAACGCGATCCCAACCCATTACACAAGGCAACTCACAGAACGCATTCTGGGGATTTGTTGCACGCAGCCTCAGTCTGTGTGCCCTGACAATCACCACATGCGAATGTGTGTACAATACCTGGCACAGAGTGACTACGAGCATGAAAGTATAAACGTTCAAACATTAGAGAGGGTCTCATAGCACTCATCTGACTGCAACCGGTGGCCGTTTACAACGCAATATGGTTATATAACAACTGCGGTCGCGAGAGGTGCAGAGTGTTATGGTACGTGAGGATGAACTTATAAAATGTTAACGCGTTGAAGTGCTAGAACAGCAGAGTTCGTACGACGTGCCAGTTGGAATAAAGTCTTAGACACTCCTTCTGAGCACAAGCCAAAGGTTCAAACCGTTTCACGCATGTCATGAATGTGAGACATCTGGGTTAACCGTTTAGTCGACTCGTTTGGTTGTTTCGATGTCTTTAGGGTTTTAGAAACCCTTGACCCAACACATGTGTCACTTAGCACAGACTAAACGTATTCGAGATGTCACCGGGACAGACCCAAACTATCCGTACAGATGTAACGCATTGCACACCCGTTTCTCTCTGCCCAGGGCTGCAAGCACAGAGAATATGAAGCCTGTGTGTGAGCAGGATGTCTGTGTGCTGCGCTCGGCCCAAGTGCATGATCTCGTAGGTGTCTTCCTGTGGAAGTGCCATGAGGAGAACAAGGTGTGGCGCAAGTCTCCAGTATAGCCGAGTTTGATTGACCCGATGTTTGCATATACATGTGAGTGTGAGTGTGAGTGTGAGTGTGGTAGATCAACCCGATGTTTGCATATGCATGTGAGTGCGAGTGTGAGTGTGAGTGTGGTAGATCAACCCGATGTTTGCATATACATGTGAATGTGAGTGTGAGTGTGAGTGTGGTAGATCAACCCGATGTTTGCATATGCATGCGAGTGTGAGTGTGAGTGTGAGTGATGTGAGTGTGAGTGTGAGTGTGAGTG